CAGCAGGAAAATGTGCAGTGGGAGTTAATTTCTCCTATTATCTATGATTAAGCTACCAAGTGGATGCTTTTAGTTCTGATAAGTACATGTAGTCAAAGGGAGAAGATGTCCAAGCGAGCTCTGGAAACTGGGAGAAAGACTAATCAGAAGGATTCTTTGGAATGTAGATGAACATCAATTTGTCTTGCTGTCTGAGACAGACATATCCCATTGTGGAAACTAAGTCAATGATCTACAGCTGCTTAGATTGCTAGTCATTTTTCTTAGAGACAGGATTATACCAAAGCCCTTAATCCAAACACTACCAAAATACACAGAGAGAGAGGTTTGGATGGGAACAGTGAGTCCTGCAATTTGGGAATATCTCTTCTGGGTTTTTTCTTGAATTTTCTCCTCTTATGGTGATTGAGTATGTATCAAGTTTTATGTTCAAGAACTGCATTCTTGGCATGTTCCATTTGTTCGTATTTTAGTGCAAAACAGTCAGAGGCGAAGAGATCTTAGATGGGGCCTAGTATATTGGGATAGATTAAGGTCACTGCCATATACTTTTGTTGGAGAAGACAATGATTGGCCTCTATGTTTGTAGACTGCATGACAAATTTCCCTTTTGGAAATTTGTCAATTAAGAGAGAGTGCATTTTTCACAGCACAGAGGCAGTGTTTAATAGGAGAGCTCTTTTTATATGTACGCTCAATACTGTATGCAGTGTTTAATAGGAGAGCTCTTTTTATATGTACCCTCAATACTGTATTAGCTAGAGTGTGTGTGTGTGTGTGTGTGTATACACACACACTGCTGGGTTCCCCTTAGGTTAGCAGTTTTCAAACAATAGTCCATGGAGCCTAGCTAAGCTAAAGGCCAGAATCTAAAATCTCAACATGTGGTCTGGGTACTAGCAGGGAACAAAGAGGCACATGTTTAGCATGGATGAATAAACAGAACAAACAATTTTGAGAACCCAGAAATGGCCTTCTGCAACCTCTTACTTCTATTATCTGTAAATTGGGGGATTTATACTTACCTGCATCCAGAGGTCTTGCTTAATAATACAGTCTGTGGAATTCAGAGAATTAATACCAGTCTATGGAGAAGTGGATACTAGAATTTATTATCCTCTCCAGGGACCTACCATGCACTCACGTAACTCTAACTGGAGTTGGAAAAACTACTGCTGCATTCTCCTCTCATACAGAGCTCTACCTTTGCTCCTGGGACTATGCTTAGTAAAACTGGCCTATTAGGGTACTGCTATTAGGCTGTGTCTACACTGCCCTCTCTTGCGCAAAAAATATGCAAATGAGGTGAAGCGTGGAATATTGCTGCACCTCATTTGCATAATTAATTAGGCTCTGTTTTTGCTCAAGAGGCTTTTGTGCAAAAAAGGAGCCATCTACCCCTTTTTTTGTGCAAAACCCCCCTCTTGTGCAAGAGCCATTCTTCCTGAAAAAAATGCGGAAGAACAGCTCTTGCGTAAGAGGGGGGTTTTGCGCAAAAGCCTGTTGCGCAAAAAGCGGCCATTCATTAATTATGCAAATGAGGTGCTGCGATATTCCACACTTTGCCTCATTTGCATATTTCTTCTGCAAAACAGCGCAGTATAGACATAGCCTATAGGTATGCACACAGATTTTTTTAATATTTATATGTGTGTCCATCATATGTATATCATGTCTTTAAATCTGTATAGATACAAAATATGATTTACATTAGAAATGCGGGAGGGGAGTCATGATATTGCCCCCATTACTTCTAAGCTGGGCAGTTGGAGAGTGCAGCTGATGGTCAGGCACCCAGCTCTAAAGGTTGCACCCCTTTAGCTGCAGTAAAGATGGCAATACCATATCATGCCACCCTTCTGTGCTGCTGCCTTCAGAGCTGAGTGGCTGGAGAGTGGTAGCACTTCTGCCTTCAGAGTTGGGATCTCCAGCACTGAAGGTAGCACTGCCCCAGCAGAAGTACAGAAGTAAGGGTATCAGTACCACAATTCCCTCCTTCAATAAACTTGCGACCCCTCTACGCGCTACTCCTTTTTGTGTCAGGATCCTTACAATTGCAGCACCATGACATCTGAGAATTCAGTTGCTGAAATCATGAAATTTATTATTTTAAAAATCCATGACCATGAAATTGACCAAAATTGATTGTGAATTAGGTAAGGGCCCTAATTACATATGTACAGTGTATGCCTCATCCCACAATATTTTCCACTGAATTTAAACAGCACCAAAACCACTCTTTCTATATAGTTGTGAGCTCACTGAATAGTGACTGTCCATTCACTCAGGATGAAAATAGATATACTGTAAATGAAAGTAAGGTTTGTTTTCTCAGTGCCTCATTTCTTTGCTGCTATAAGAACTGTTTCTGCAGTGTTGATTGCTGCATCACTGTAAGGTTAATGTATTCATATTTTCCCTAATCAGTTTGTAGCAGACCATTATTACTCCAGGTCAAATAAAGATTAAGAACCCTTTTACAAGAAAACATTACAGTCTCCAGGAACTCTGATCAACTTGTCTTTATTAATCTGTTTGAATTTGCTTGTCTCCTTTTCACTAGGGGTACGTCTAGACTACATGCCTCTGTCGTCAGAGGCATGTAGATTAGGCTACCAGACATAGGAAAATGAAGCGGCGATTTAAATAAT